TTTTTAATAGATAGAGTGATTCTTAAGGAAGGTTTGTATGTATAATACATGCATATTGCACCCGTGCGAAGCCGGGGCGGGTCGCTAGTTAAAGATATTTCTCAAACTAGTAGTGTAATTTGATAAGCCTAGTAGGTACTTCGGTAGTACTGTTTAAGTGTACAGAGGTAGATACCTGTCTTAGTTGCACCAACAGCAATTGTTTGCCATCGCGAGTTGAGTTAACCACGTCACGTTTCACACGTTCTGCGGGAGCTGAAAATTAAAAAAAAACTAATTGATACAGTATTTCCGTTGCAACTATTGTTTTCTGAATGTACTTAATAAAATGTTGCTTTAAGCCCTAGGTAGGCAACCTGTTAATTATTGCTAACATACATAACACACTGGTTTTAAGTACCTACACTTATTCGATTATAAGAAAGGACGAAACCGTCGAATAGTCGCAAATCCTATCTACTTACAAAAACATCCGTGCTAAGCTCTTAATGTTTTTATGTTATATTTAATTCGTAACAAAAAAGGATTATGAATTTGATTTAAGGTAAAAAGATCAAAGACTGTGTTACTAATTAATTTCATAAAAATATTGATTGCGAATATTAATAATTTAATTCAAACTGCTTTACAAAACACGAATTCGTTGCACCTTGCACCGCAATCTTTGAAATCGATTACTGGCTAAAAATAAATTGTTCAATCCCTTTTATGATATCGAATCATTTCAATTTATTCGTGTAATATAATTAAAGAATGTTCATTGAAAAAAGTGATGGGACATTGAACCTGTCGCATAATGGCGGACCGACTTTGTTGTTTATGATTACCTCCTAATATCACAAGGCAATGTATAACGGTTGCTTCAAACTACACCAATAAGCATGTACCGTATTAAGGTCTAAAAGTATAACTGGCATATGTTAATTATCGTTTTTAAAACTTGTTTCGAGACAAGTACTCACTTCGATCATAAAGAATTGCTAATTAACTCTGGTTTCAAGTTTATTGACGCACTGGACTCTCAGGACTTTTTCATGTCAAAGCTACTAATTAAAATATGCATCAATGTAAAAAGTAGTCTTGTTTTTAGACTAATGCTTTGAAATGTAGCTAAAATGATTAGAAAGGCAATGCAAATATTGTATGTATGTAAGATAATTTTGGATAATATTTGATTTCGATCAATATCTTCAGTTGGAGTAAATGAACTTCGCCAGCGATAATCGTAAACATCGTGGAAATTATTATTCTAAAGGCGATCTTAAAGCATAGCTCGAGTACAACAGCGTACGAAACGTGTCGTAAACATGCATGTTATTTATTTCGGATCGCTGCATAACGGTTTCCGTTATATTCAAACCTCAGAATGCTATGTGCAGCATGCCAATAATACTACGACCTAAATAAATACAACATATTTGTAGAATTATGTCATTAAAACCATTTTAAGCAAGAGACAGATGAGTATTTAAAAGTAAACTGGTCTGTATATTATGCGCATCTTGATGAAGAACTCCAAGCAAAATAGTACTGACAAAATAACAAGAATTTGTCCTTGAAGAAGCTGGAGCTGGACCTTGAATCAGACTCAACTTTCGACCGACCGAGGGTTCTAAATAATTAAACTTGATTGTCTGAGATCCTTTAATGAAAATGTAGGTACGCAACGACCTTTAAAGGTTCCTAGATTTAAAATGAAAAAACCAATTCATGACCATTGTAACAATCAAAAATCACCTTTATAGTGCACTGGGTAGGGAATGTTTTTCACTGGTGGATAGAACTGCAATTTTATTTAAATAGCATGCAGTGGTATGCCAACAGACACGACACCTTGAACTTGATACCAATAACAAGTATCTACATCATTTAATTTTCCTGTCGGGTGAGATGGTTGAGCCTTAAAAGGATAATGGTAACAAACGTCCCCTGCGGTACCTACACAAAACTGGTACTTGGTTTTAATTTAAAAACAACGTATAAATCAGACAAAGGATTTTTTACGCCCCTACATTGTCACGACAGTAAACAAGCCTGTTTGGCGACGCGCATACATATATCTAATAACATTTGTGTCTGGATTCCGGGTTCAGCTATCAACCGCGAGGAAATGTCAGAGGCGTCATCCAGCTTCAATCGCCAGTCTCCGATCTAATTAATGTCCTCGAAGTGACTCACAAAAAGTTTGAACAATTTAAGTCGTGCTTTGGACAATGATGTGATTGATGTGATCGACTTGGGATGTGTGGGCGTATGACAATTTGCATTGAATTGATCCCATAGGTATTTCCGAATAATAGCCCACGTGTTAGAAGTTCTTAATACCAACTCAATTACAGGTTGATGACCAACGTCTTCATCAACTTTAGTACAGACTTTAAATTGTTATAAAACTACTTTAGTTTAATTGTAATAGGTTGTTAACATAATACAATAGCACTTTTTGTGAAGGAAAATATTATAAAAAGTTTAGGGCACGTTTTGCCAGTTTTATAGATGTTGTTGTAATCTTTTTTCATGGAATAGGAGGCAAACGAGCCGACGGATCACCTGATGATAAGCGATCAGCGCCGCCAATGGACACCCGCAACACCAGAGGAGTCATAGGTGCGTTGACCGCCTTTTGAAAAGGAATACAATGTAGATTTAATAAAATTATTTATCAATCGTATATGAGTCCTTGATCCAGGAACAAAACCGTTATTACAGGTACAGAAGAAGCAATTCTAAACCAATTGAATTCGTCTTTTTCCAATCGTAGTATTTACGTTGGACATAAATATCTCAGTGCCGAATTTTAACTTTCTCTAGCCTCAAAACCCCATACCCTCATGTGCCGTCCATTGTTTTGAGTCCTCGCAATACAAATACTGGACGTTACACTCATTCTATGAATAAGCCGTACGTGAGTGAGTAAACCTTTATGTTACGGTTAAACCGCATACACATCAATAAAGAAGTGGACAAAAATGTTGAAGTTGTAAAAGATTCAGATTTTAAAACTTTATATCAGTTAGTTATGTATTAAACCAACTTGTACACCATTTATGGTAACGCAGATTTATCTATCCTAATTTTCAGAAAGCATAATAGTTTCTGATGTAGGTATATTGCGAGTGGAGATTATAATATTAAATTAAGACTTTAATTACTACTAATGTTATTGGGAAAAATAGGTTGAGAGATTACCATTCAACGCGATAATACTGTTGTTAGTTTACCATGCACATAAAATTGGTAGCAAATTAATGTGTAGGTAATCATAATAATTGAAAAAATCACTTTATAATAATAATTGAGCATGGTTCATATTTTACTTGTGTATGTAAATAACAATAATGGAAAGTCGGCTTACCGTTTAAAATAACCGCATCGTCGGTATAGAACGCACCATCAGTAGACGAGAATCCATTCGTTACGTCCAAGTCACTCCCATACCCAAACGCTAAAAGTCCCGCCCAAACAATTGCGAATTTACTCCTTATCAACATTATATCGTTTTATAAGTACGACATTCACTTAGACTACTGTACGGAAAGAGTTAAATTTTATTGCGCGTCGCGGGTGTGTCCAGCCCGCAAGGAGTCGCTTCGCAAAATGCTTCGGGCTCTTGACTCCGCGCCTTTATAATATTTTTGCACTGACGCTCTACATTAGGTTAAAAAGATAACAGAGCTTTTTCTCCTTTTGTACAGGACTGACATTTGCCGTCCAATACAGCGAGCTTTATAAAATATGACAACCAATTCGTTTGGAATGCCCGAAATGGAATACTCGATCGATGGTGTTTATTTTTCTGCATCATCACGGGCGGCAGCACCTAACATAACACGTAATATATGCAAGATCAATGAACTTAAACTAAGTAAGTTATTTTAGCAACACATTAAAGTTCATTATAGTTATTACATCAAAAAATTTAATCAAATTAAAAATAAATTTTACTTAATCACTGTCTTGGCTCCTTGAATGTTACAAGAGGGCCATTACCGTATATTCCAAAAGCATTAAAGTTAAATTAAAACGTGGAAACGAAAATTATTTTACAAAACAAAAAAGGTGGTAATTCAGCGAGGTAGCTTATGTAAGTAGGCAGGTACCTACTCTCTTAAATTGGAGTTGAAAGCTTCGCCGTCAAAATTATTATCCCAATCTTTAATTTAGTAACATAATGATTCTTTGATAAGTTAAATTTAGCTTCACTCCCTTTTAAATAAAACCAAATAAACGACTTAATAGACGTTAATCCTTTGACAAGGATCCTAAATAAGGATAATGGAAGTCACCCACCCTTTCAGCTCTATGGAGACATGATTTTTTCTGTTTACAAAGTCACGAATTTGATGTATGTGATCCGATAATCCCACCTGTCTAAATACCTATGCATATAAGTGCTAAAACCACAACAGGCACTCAGCATAATGTCACTGACCTTTACAAAAACGAAGGAGCACTTTAAAATCGTCAATCGTGTCAACAAATTGCTTACTGTAGGCAATTTATGTTCCTTGGTGCACACTTTGACAGACGATTTGCATTCGATTCTAAAAACAGTATAAACGATCATTTTTGACGATTCCTTAAGACACGCTTAGGATATTAATTACTCTTTCCGTCATTCCAAATTCGTTATCTGAACTTACTTGAATAACTAATTATTACTGACAATAACACACTCTGTAAGTGTGTGATTTCCTTTTGATCTACATATTTATTGAGCAAAGAAAATGGTGCCCTTGATGAGCAACCTTCGATACTCGTGGCAGCAAAAAAGAAACATAATTCAATTAAACGATATACTCTGCAGCTCTTATGTTTCTTATCTTTTAGTTGTAAAGGTATCATTACTCTTTTAATGAGCAATGTTAATAATTGTCGAGATCACGGAACAAGATCAGCATATCGATAGGTATGAGCTGACGCGTCGAGCAAGCAGGATGATTAGATTGAAGCGCGTACGATATTAGCGTCATTAATCTTTAAATGTCCCGTTATGTCAATGTCTTAGATCAGTATCTGTCGGTGGTGTGCAAAAATGTAATACGGCCTGACACTGCTTACATTCTCATTTAATACAATGTCCATTGCGTGGGCCATAATATTTGAGCTTTGTTGTCATGACGATGGCGCTTTGCGAGGTTTAAAAACAATGAAATGTGAATTAGGTATACAGATTACAGAGTAGTGTTTACTCGTACCAGGTAAAGAGAGGCGTTGACATGGACGGTTGGTAAATAATATCGCTCTTCGCATAATATTTGAGACGTGAAGGTTCCAAGACCTAGTTAGATATGAATCATTCGTCTGGACAAGGATATTGATATTTGAAGTGTTTCGTACGCTGGAATGAAGATTATGAGTAATGTTGGTAGTGCTTAAGTTATGAAAAAGATTGATAGTTCTGTTAGGAAGACGTTTACAGCTACAAAAACATTACCAGTGCCAGTTACCGGGTTAGCATCTTACCTTTGTGCCTTTTACGATTCGAACAAGTCATGAAGTCAACAACATCTAAACGCTCGGCAAACATTTGTGATGTCCACACAGGCACAGTTATACATGTGTTCTTATGAGGTTCATTCCCTGTTCCAAGTGTTAATGAATACAAACCTTTAATCGGAATTATGAAGTAAACGTTTTCGCCTGAATTATTTCTGTAAACATTTGGAGCTAGAGATTTGATAAATTGATGTCTCCTCAGTTGCAGATAAATGCTCAAATTCGTCAAAGAAACAATAGGACCCGCTAAAGCTTTAATTACAAGTTCCGTGGTGGTTGGTGAGTGGGTTCCTGGGGCTCCTATAAAAAGGAATGAAGCTATTCCTATTTTTTTGTCTTCTTTTCCTAAGTCCAATACAAAGCAAAGTCCAATACAGTTCCTGTCTCTGGGACGTACCAGACTTCATTTTTATGTTGGTTGGTCTCATGGTCTGTCCTGAAGATCCTAACTTACAGAAGGTGCAGTGGGTGAATGTGACGGGCCTGTCCCAAAAATGTAATCTAGATTTCACTTAGACAAGTTTCACCGTACTACTTACTTAGTATAGTTAAAAATACATTAATGTATGTAAAATAAACGATGTTGGTCTGTAATACCAGCTATCAATTAAGTCAAGCCCTCATTTTACAACCTACTACGAGAATCACAGTACTATAAATAACATTTACAACAATCTTATGATGCACTTGCAATAAATTCAAAATGTCAAGAGATCATCAACCTCTTTAATAATAAGGATACAATTAATCGTTTACAATCAATCAGTCTAATGAATAATTATAACAGCATTATAATGTAGAGCGCATCTTATATGTTCCGATGGTTCTAATAATTTATTTGCCGTGAACGTACACCGTTATATTAAATTACTAACATTTGGACTAGTGTATTCCATATATAAACGAAGACGAATTTATTATTGCCCATCTTCCTAACTTTATAGTTTAACAATGATAAAATAAAATCATAGAAAACTGGTTTTGATGCCTAATTTATTTCTTCTTCCTATTTTGATTCGAAAGATTTATGTGTTTGTTTTACGGGCGAAATTCGACATTAATTGTATGGAGTTTCTGTCAAAAACCATGGTCGATCCAAATATTGGGGTTTAAGATGGATTATTAAATAATTCTAGCCGTTAGTCAGCCTATCAACTATTTATACCAGAGTAGGTTTGCAATTTTTACGCTGTTTTGTGCATACCTAATACAGATATTAAAGTGTCAAAAGAAACGTTTTCACTTGTTGAGTCTGTTTAAGGTGACTTTGAAGTTGATCGAGATATTTGGGCAATTTAAGAGAGTGGTTTTTAGGTCGTCCACATTTCTTCATCGTCTTCATTCGAGACTTCTTGGCCTTTCTATTGTCATCAATAACCGACATGATATCTGTTTCATTTGTATTTTAGCAAGGATGAAAAATCATCAATGACTCTCTCTAAACCTTTCGCCCTGTTCCAACTTTTATTCTGTGTCGGGGTCGCGATGGCCTCGCTTACAACCCCGCCAGGGTTTGGCGAACCTTTTATCTATAAAGTTATATAATTTCTAAGACTCTGCCTTCGTGTGGGAGAGCCATGCTTCGGCACGAATGGGCCGGCTCGACCGGAGTGATACCACGGCTTCACAGAAAACCGACGTGAAACAACACTTGCGTTTTTGTTTCGTCGTGTGAGTGAGGCTACCGGAGGCCCAATTACCGGGGATTCGGGAGACTAGGGACCCCTCCCTAGTCTCCCGAATCCCCGAATCCTCCGCAATCCTCAAATTCCCAATTCCCAAAAGGCCGGTAACGCACTTGTAACGCCTTGGTGTTTCGAGTATCCATGGGCGGCGCCGATTGCTTACCATCAGGTGATCCGTCTGCTCGTTTACCGTCTTACTTTAATTTCACGAGGAACTTTAAATAAAGCAATATAACAATAAAGTAAAGAGAATAATACTACTTTGCCGGACTGGGGAACTAACCCAAAGAGAAGATCTGCAACCAATAAAATTAAAACTACGAGCGCCTGAAGTATTACACAGGTAAACAATTGTATAGCCTAATTTGGCTCTTCAATATTAAAAAGGCGCTAAGCTAAATAGAAATTTTGACAATTTTGATCTGTTTCAAGATCACGAAACAGTTACAAAAACATAAACATAGGAAATGGAACTACAGCATTAACCACATATGGAAAATGCGTTGGCAGTACTGGTAAATAAGAGATAAAATGTCCGAAATATTAGCATAAAAATATTTTGTTATGAGATATGCCGTATGACACCTCTCAACATGGGTAGGTAGATAAACTAGATTTATAAAATAATGTATTTCTTAATCCTTTGGTATGTGACCTTAAGTCTATATTTTAAGTTAAAAATAAACGAATACGAGGCAGAACAATCGGCGCATTTTTTTATAATATAAAGTCGTTATGCTCATGTGATTGTGATACACACTTTCGAAACTTACTATAATTTCCTGTCCTTAGCTGTTTCTGATGAACCGCACATGGCGATTTCGTCTTGGGCGCCCATCGATATGGTCGTTATTTTTTTACCAAGCGTTATGGTAGGTTTCTAAAGTTCATCGTTTCATCACAACCACATGAACATTAGACATCTAAAGGACTAAATTATAAAAGAAAACGCGGCGCTTACTCTACCTTCGCGTAGCGAGGAAATCAATTATCTTCCCAAACTGTTCAAAAATATATTTTGCGTTGCTCTGGTGCCAAAACTACTTACCTACTATTAGAAAAAAGCTGTCAAGACAAGATAAATAGTAAAACATTCCAAGCAACCCCTATATTTCCGCCAAAATTACATACATAACTTCACGCCTGTCTCCCATGGGGTAGGCAGAGACTATGGAACGCCAATTATTACGATTCCTACATACCTCTTTCACTTCAAAATTATATAATTATATTCCGCCAAAATTATCGAACTATAAGACAAAATAACTCTCCTTTTTGCTTCTCCATAATCGGCATAATCATAATTTTAAAAAACAAATGGTATCTTACCACCGTATCTTATCTTCAGTAGCAACATTACCTACTGTGTACCTTTTCGCCGCCCAGCTATACTAAACACGATGTGTCGCCGTACGCCAACGTATAAATATATAGTACGAAAGTAGGGATGGCGGTAACATCATGTCGATAATGAAAAAAAATATGTGTAAATTTAAATTGGTACTCAAATTTACAATTAAAAATACAAACTGTTAAGTTATAATGGTAATTTGTTTTATTTTATGAACATTTATACTAAGAAAAATGGGTATCCGTTATCAGAGATGAAGATACATGCATAAAGTTGCTAGAGATAATAATAATAATTCGTAACATTAGCCACTTCACTATTCATTTCATAACGTAGTCTGTTTACTTCATATCAAGTCATTGGCGTTCAAAGCACGATACATTTCGTAAGGAATAGTTGTCTATGCTTTTCTTTCTTTCTATCGAGTTTGGTTTGCTTTTGGTTTTAGTTTACATTTAAAATCTAACGTCAGGTCACGATCAGGAACATTGTTTGTAGTGATTAAAAGTGGCAACATATGTGTAGTTTTGGAAATGGATGGTAAGTAACTATTTTAATACAGATGTACTAAACTTTAATAGCTTATTTTTCATTTAATGCAAATGAAAAACTGGCACGTTTGATGGATATTATAGTCCATCTGTTTAGGTAATTAACTAAAGGTAAACAAACAAAACCACGTGACACAGAGATACTTAACCTTCTATTACTTCAAATATTTCTCGTGTTTTAATTTAAACTAAATTCACTTTAAAATCGTTCATTTGTCACACACACACATACAAGCACAAATGCCTAAATCATACAAGAGCCTAGCCTACGGGTCTATTTCATTATCATGTTTAAATAGAAACTATTCTGAATCTGATGTACGGATTTCTTTCTTGTACGGATATGTGTCTTTGGGTCAAGTTTCTTCAATATATTTGAACACATTAATTACAAACGATGAATAACCTAAACTTAAATAACGTAATAACAAAAACAAAACAAAGAAACAAGATAAATTCAACAAAATAGGAACGCGAGCGCAAACGACGAGAGAGCTGTCAATGGCGCCTGATTAACCGACTAAACGTAATACACGCTACTTTCATTGTCGCGCTACATCTTAATTGTACTCTTTAATTTGACAACATTATCTAATGCTTCGTTCATAAAGAAAGGTTTTGGATACCTGGCATTTTAGGCTCTTTATGGTGTCTATTGTAATGAAATATTATATTATTTAATAAATGTTATTAAATTATTATGCTCAAGCAGATATATATAATATTTACTTAGAAATAAGTGAAAAGGAACAGAAACATAACATTTAATAGAGAAAACTGTCGTAAAAATGGAAACAATTTTATTTTCTTATGAAGTATTTTGAGTCATGGAAATGTCAACTATAAAGAACTCTTTTTATGGTTTGTTTACAAATAGTTAACTACCTAAACAGACGGAGTATAGTCCACACCTTGTAACAGCCGCAACAACTCATCCGAATCATATTCGGTCATTTTGCACTGCACTGGGAAAGAAAAATGTGCGTGCACGCGTCGCCCGGAACTATGACACAATGACCTTGACGCCTAAGCGCTTACGACGTCACAGGTTTACTTCTATTGAAGTTGACGGCGCTAGTGTCACTCGACATCTTGCCATTACGTAGAGATGGGTCTAGCAATATCGAAAACCCTCAGTACATAATAATTAATTTTAATGAAATGATTTGATAGGTAGATGTACATTAATTTTGAAACGCATTGTAATACGTTATTTACTGACCGGAATTTCTTTTTATTCATAGAATTCAAAAAACTATTGGATGGAAAAGAAAACAAATATTATAGTAAATAAAGATTCTAATGAATGCTCCTTACGCGTCACATCACTGGCCTACTTGATATGAAGTCGTTGGCGTGCGGGATATAAAATTATTTGAAACCTTTTATGTTTTACCTTTTTAAAACAGAAAATAGTCTGTTTTGCATGAGAAAAAATAGTTCGTCGTGTCCATATTACAAAATTACAAAGAAACAAATGTTTTATGTATCGTAAATGTATTTTTTATAGTAGGTAGATACAATGAACTTCTATAGAAGTAGTGGCGTGGACGGCACGAAAATCCTGAACTTCTATAGAAGTTGTTGGCGGCGAAAAGGTTAAAATATCAAATAATAACCTTTGCTCAAAAATTGCAACCAAGGAAATGTCAAGATTTTACCAGAGAACTTATATTACACAATACAATACGGTACGGTCCACAGTTCGTGTGTCTAACTGTCTAAAAAGGAATAATAATGATGTCTTGGGTTTTTGTGGCAGCGATTTTGAATTAGTGGGCCCATAAATTAGTGTGACCCCATAATATATGTGACGTACTACTTCAAAATTTGCTAGGCATGATAATAAAGTGGCAACGAAATGGTACAGTGTCTGAGTCTGAGTAGGTGTATTAGGGTTTTATTTAGTTCCTTCGATTTCTATGATCACTGCAACGTATTTAATACAAAACTGGAAGATGATAATATACCTACTTAGGCAATGACGCTTATACATAATAGTAGTTAAGCAATACCAGTAAATATTTCAAAAATAGTCTGTAAATAGACATTGCAGTGTCCAAATTTTTAGCATCAATTAGCAATCTATCTTATACCCATTTTATATCCGCATCATCATAAAATTTTCCAGGCTTTGGTCACGGTCGTTTAAATCTTTCTTTCGTCTGTGTACCTCCCTAACTAGCTATCCGCGTGCGGGTTCGCCCGCGTGAAACTGAAAAAGGTGTTCAAATTTTAAACTAATGGAAAACGTTTTAGTTTTGCAATCACAATACTAAGTATATGTACAAATTAAAAGCGAAGTTTAAAAAAGGTTATACTTAATTAAATACGTCAATCGACGCTTATTTCTGACTAGTAGGCGCCTAACCACAGCCTAACTTTCGAAAAGTAATTGGACACTATGCACCTAACTGCGGTACGGTATATATGGCAGTAAGTACTAATTGAAAGATTGGGAAAAGCAAAACGATGTTTTTTATGTTCGATATTGCCATATATTTATCTGACGTATGTACTCACCAGTAAGGTAGCAGGTACTTGACTTAGGTGAAAACAATGGAGCATTAGGGAGGTATATGCGACCAATAACTATTTTTATAATACCTTCTTACCTAAATTGTACACAAGCTATATAACGAAATCAAATATTGTGTTAATAGGTATTTATTCGAATCGATTAATTGATTATCAACATAGCATATTTGATTATTAAGTTCAACTCAACTTATTCTGGGAAATGAAAAATGAAAACCTTGACATGAAATAAGTCACTAACACTATTGTACCTGTACGTAAAGAAAATGCGTTAGTTTAGCAACCTGTCTTGCGTAGCCTGAGCAAGGTCTGTTATTAAACTAACTTACAAAATATGTCGACTCAAGTTATTACTTGAGTTGACATAAAGTCCGACCCTAACTAAATGTAGTTAGCTTGAGTAAGAAAATACGTTTAATGTGTTTTAATGCCTTCTGGAGAGAAAAGGCCAAAAATACATTAACAAATAGATGACTGCCATTGAACAATAATAGTTTTATTGTTTGTATTGCTCTTTATTTAATTAAAGCTTTGAAGAAGTACTCGTAACACAAGGCTTCTTTGTTTATCATTACTGCTTCTTTTGTAAAGCCAGCGTTACTTTACGTTGTGTAGACATCTTTCGAGAGATGGCGCTATGGGAGCGCCGTAGGTATTCCAATTTAAGTCTTTCAACGTAAGATTTGGCGCAGGGTTTGGGGCTTGAGCACTCAATATAAAACGAAATAGGATGAGAACTTACCTTATCGTTGTAAATACTTTCAGTTAATATAAACTTACAGTACCTACATAATTAATTACAAAAAATATTTTCTATATTTAAACTATGCATGTATGTACCTACATATATGGGATCACGATTCTTAAATAAAATAACTCTTCTTCGTATATTTACTTACTTAGATAGCAGAATACATAACTGGACTGTATATATAGATATATAATGTAAGGACAGAAGGGAAATCCGTATTTACAATAAAAAATGTTATAAGACAAAAAATAAATTACTAAATATAGCATCAACACTTGTTTCTGCAGCGATACGAAGCTAGTTATTAAAATAAATAGTTAGTAAAATTAAAATATAAACTAAAAAGTCTAAAAATCGACAATCTAACAACTTTAAATAAATAAATATTCCCGTTTACATAGAACATCTTGCACTTTATTTAAAATTTAAATGTATAATATAATAGTTATATAATATTAAAGTCGTTATTTTTTAGTCATGTTTATGTCGGCAAGTTATTATCAAATTAATAGAATATAATAAGTGGAATATAGGTACAATAATATGTAGATTGGTATTATTATATTATTACCTAACTTTGTTATGTATTCACCAAACCAGTAGTGACATTGAAGGCTGCGCTTTATGCAATCTCTTGAACATACGGCGGGCGGAGCGGCGCGCGCGCACCACTCGACCGAAACTTACAAACGATGCCATAACATAGACCGCACTACTCGTCTCTCATAATTTATTTTTAATAACAAATTAAAATAAAATTACCTCAAAATGTTCGGTTCAAAAATAGTTTTTAGTTTGTTTATGATCCTCAGTGTTTGTTACGGTGCTGTTGATATAAGTAAGTGTTACTATTTGTAGATTTTTAATGATATTATGTCACGGTAGTGATTTATTACGACGTGATTATGTCTAATCTAAATTACTTACCATGTACTTATTTATATTTTCACTCAAACAGGTTCTACTGTATTATACTATATTTTATACTGTCAATTTTTTTTAGTATAAATTGATATTAATCTTATTTATAGACCTTGATTATTCTTTACATTTTTGTGTGTTGTGCGATAAATGTGTTTCCCAAATAATTATATCATCAAAACAATTTAAATTCCAATAGGAATAGGTGGTACTTTTGTACTTTAATTATATATATGTGATGTTCTTTATGTTGTATGTGTGTACATAAATAATAAATAAATAAATTATAAACACACTAACTTCTGCCAGCGGCTTTGCCCGCGTTTCCATGGGATGAAAAGTATGAAAAAAGTAAAAGTTATTGCAGACCATAGTCTATCCCTGTTCCAAATTTCATCTCGATCCCTTTAGCCGTTTAGCGTAAAAGAGTAACAAACACATACATACACACATGCATCCTCACAAATTTTCGCATTTATAATATTAGTAGGAAGGATTGTTTGGTGTACATGAGCAATGATGATTCTTCATGATGATAATGATCTATCTAATCAGCATTAATTGCTCGGACGCCACAGAGCTCTATAATTTGTGACTTTTATTGTCATCCTAGTTAATAGCTGCTTAACTCTTTGCGGTATACCTATTTCGACGTATTAACAGCATACAATTAACGTCGAAACTAGAGAAAAACAACTAAACTAGCATTTATCTGTGGTGGTTTCCAATGGACTTTGAATACTCTTATGAAATACGAAATAAAAATGCTGAATAAATAAGAAGGTATATAAATATTCAATTACTTAGATAGGTATCTACTTTAAATTATATCTACCTAGGTATACTAATTTTAAAGTTGACATTTAAGTGTATCTAAAAATTAAAATGTCTGATTTGTTTCACCAGGAAACAGTTAGGTATATTGCAGGACACTTTCTCTAACATTAAGTTGTGATGTGACGCATATGAACAGGCCAAAATAAACAAATATACCTAACCACGAGGAATTAATAGCTACCCCAATATTATGATACCAGTCGCGGAGAACCTAACGGGTTACCGGGGCTCCGGCTCGACGTGCAGGAGAAGGAACGGGGTGGTTTTTAGTCAGTAAGAGTCTGACACCCCCCAGTCATTCGATGATTTTCTCCCTTAAAAAAATATGATACTAAATTTTAAACCCAACATGTTTCGTAATCAATATTTGACCTACCAAAATTAAAAACTCAATAAAAGCTTACTCGACCCAGAAAACTAAGGACCTTGTGCTTAGCGGTCACGCATATTTAGAAATAGATATGAGTCCGATTTAAATGCTGATTAATCTTAATTTAATATTTCAGAAAAATATTTAAAAGTATGCGATAGAAATGCAATAGATGTGAACGACTGCATGGCGGATGCTGTGCGACAAGGCATTGCAACGATGATCAATGGCATAGACGAGCTGGGAGTGCCACCCATAGACCCGTACCTGCAGAAGGAATTTCGGTTGGAGTACAAGAATAATCAGGTACAAATGTTCTTTCAATTCAACACAACCAATACGTTATTTTTATAATTGATGATTTTGCAACGTAAACGCCTTTAAAAGGGTATTCTGATTGAAACAGCACTACCAAAATAAAAAAAAACAATATAACCCGCAGTAAAAAATGGTATTGATTTTGAAGTTTACCTGACACTACTAAGACAAGACCTAAATCAAGGAGAGATAAAGTGCAAACAAGTCTTAAACTGAATTATTTGAACATGTTTGTGTAGATAGGTACAACCAGTCATTTTCATCAGTATTAGCTATTAAAATTATTATTACAGTAGGTAACTTACATAGATAGGTGCATAATGACCTATTCTGTAATCTTTTTCCTTTAGCCTTTCTGTGGCTTATTATAACTAATCGTTTTACTGAAGGATATGTAAGATAAGGTCAAACAAGTAAATCAAGACAATAAAATTGGTATTATTTTCTTGGCGAATAACAGAAACATGTTTGTTACATGAGCCGATGAGACCTCAGCAGTCGTCCAATGACGACTGCTGAGGTCTCCACTCAAAATAATTGTTAGATAATATCTTTTCACGTATCAGTCAAGTTCGTCTCCCCTTTACTGTATTGCCATTTCAACTCGACGTAGGTCCTTTGCCAGTTACCACTTATGGTATCCGAAATGATTTGATCATCAATTTAGTGTCAGAAAATTTTCAGAGTGTAAGTTCGTGACTTACAATAACAACATAGGTAATCCAATATAACAAATCCATACTAAACATGAAAGATAGATTTCACTGAATCAAAATGAGAAGACTGTAACATACTTACATGTATACATACATACATACATAACTTCACGCCTGTCTTCCATGGGGGTAGGCAGACACTATGGAACGCCAATTACTACGTTTCCTCTTTCACTTTATCAACAGTCATCAATCTTTTCATGCATGCTCGTCGGTTAAGGGTACTTTTAATTTGGCCCTTCTTTAATATAGCGCCAATCTGGTCACTATATGTCCGTCTAGGGCGCCCTCTACCGACGGCAACATTCATATCCGCTCTGCATACTTCTTTCGATACTCTACTTTTATCCATCCTTTCTACACTGTAATACTGTTGAAGTTTAGACTGTAAACCAAACGGTAACTGGCTGATTGATAGAAAAGTGTATAATTTGCAAGTCGTGTAGCATTGTCATGTGTTACAATAAACATATCATTGTTTTCTGGTTCATTTCTTGTTATACCTGTTCTTTGAGGTTGTAAACTCCACTTTCACTACTGCCCTTTGAGCGATATGAAGTATAGTTTTATTTTAAGTTTAAAAAAAAAAATGAGTAGGTAATTTGTTGCTCAATTAAAATTAGCGACCATAAATATAATTGTCAATATATTACCTGTACCTAGGTATTTTTATATAATAAACAGTTTTTGAATTATGTGCAAACTATTGACAGTTTGCAAGAGAAGTGAATTATTCTATCCAATACATTGCATGTGGCCTAAAGTTAAATTCTAGGCAGGAAGTGGACTAAGATAATGATAATGTCTTGTTTTTACATACCCAAGTCATTCCAAAACCCTATCATACGGATATACTAGGTTACAGAAACCATTAAACATAATATAAAAAACAAGGTACCTAATTGTGCCATTTTACGACTTATATAGTTCCTTCAAGTTGGTATTTACCTTCCTGACCTCATAAAACCAGTGTTAGTTTCATGTTCTGCCAAATGTCTTAAAAGGAACAACTTACTAGACCTGTTTACTACATACTTGAGAAAATCTTTGTCCTTGTGTATACTGTACCTACATTGTACAATGTCTTTAAACAAACAGTATTGAATGTGAGATTGACACAAGACGTAAATGGCTTATATTTAGCTCCGTACCTACCTGATGAATATGTTGTGTTAACCGAAAATTTTTGTTTGTAAGTTCACTGCCAAACTTAAATCCATGAATGCTATTAAATTATATGGCCAATGTCCATTACTTGATGTGTATAACACTAGAGTATAAAGTTCTTCTTTCATCTAATTTAGATCTCTATAAAACCCTTCTTTCTGAAGTAAACTTTAATTCATTAATTTAAAGTTTACATTAGGTAGTTTAAGTAAGGATGTAATTAAATAATTCAGTAATTATCTTATTTTTATCTCATTAACAATACAGAAACTGAATACAAAGTAAATACCGGCTATAATAATTTGTTGTACTTAGGTAGATAGGATAATCAAAAACATTTATCAAAATAAATAATAATAACGTGATACAAAAAGTCCATGTATTGCGGTCTGAAACATCCTTCGAACTGGTTAATTAACGATATAATAAAACTTATAATAAATTAACATATAACTGTTACTTCTAATTACCTATAAATATAATCAACATTATATATTATGCAGGTACATACATAAAGGAGGTACTTGTAGTACATACCAGTTCTATTTTTATAAGCAATTGATATAAATATTTATGCTCACAATATTATTAGATATGCGTTTAGGTCCATACCATTTACCTATATTGCCTACATTACCTTGGTATAGTAGTAATTCAATAGTGATCATTAGTCCCAATATAGACCCTTAGATATATTTCACCTATAGTCTGGTGACCCTTTGCTTTATACAGTGTTTTATTCTGCACCCATGCTCCACATTTGCACATTTACTTCTTATTAACATTAGATATGAATATGACAAAGAAGTTTTTACAAATCAATTAACAAAGAAAGAATTTCAAAACGTAGAATGTAATTAGGTTTAGAACATGTTGTGTTTCAACCAGTGACCGTTTTAACCACGAAAGCAATTAATTATATTGCGATAAAAATAAGCAAATTGAACCATTTGCTTGCCAACCTTCAATCAGGCAACCTCTTTGTTTGAATTCAGAAATTGGAAATAATAAATTGAAGGTTAAAAGCGAAGGAAATTCAACAACCGGCTTTACATATATCTGCTGAATGCTTTTAAATCCTATATGTGAATGACATTTATTTTGTTACGATTTTATCTAAGACAAAGTAAAATAGTTATGTTCAATGATCTCATTCAAATGTTAATGTGGTTAATTGTTTGATTTCTTATAGTTGTCAAATCAAATCAAATCAAATCGTCTTTATTGTGGACTATAGGTATGCATCAGAAATACAGGTCTTAAATAATAAAAAAAGTACAGCTATGTCCCGCCGTTGAGGCATACAATAATAATATACAAAACAGAATTTAAAACACAATTAGTCATAATGTTTAGTCTCGATACAATTTTAAAATACCTCAAATACATACAAATTCAATATAAAGTCATATAATAGTTAATACATTTTACTCAAATAATTGTGTCATTCATGAACTCGGTGACACTATAGTAGACCTTTTGCAATAAAAATAGTCTAAGCCTTCGTTTAATATCTTGTGCACTTAGTTCTTTCCAAGATTTCGGCAATTTATTGTATACAATAGGTGCCATACAAAATACATTTCTACGCATAAGCGCAGTCCTACAAGGTTGCAGACAAAGTTTTGTATAGTCACGTCTGTTGCGTGGTGTCACATCATCTAAACGCGGAAATAAATGAGAGTTACATTTCACAAACATTACAATATTGAGAATGTATAGTGATGGCAAAGTAAGGATCCTGAACTGTCCAAAATACGGCTTGCAGCTATCAGTAACTTTCAGTCTAAACATTGATCTGAGGCATCTTTTTTGTGCTTTAAAGACCGTTTCCCATTCTACAGAGTTACCCCAAAAGATTATTCCGTATCTGAGAATTGATTCGGCTATTCCGTAGTACGCAGTTAATAATGTGTCTGTATTCAGTGTTTGTGACAATCGATGTAAAACATATGCTCTATTACTTAGCTGTTTTGCAAGTTTCTCTAAATGTGCCTTCCAGTTTAGATTTTGGTCTATTGTTAAACCTAAGAATTTTGTCATAGTCACAGATTGAATAATATTATTTTTATATTTAATGTCAGTATTATTTGATGTATTTGGTCTTTGACTGAAGTGCATTATAACAGTTTTATTTAAATTAATTTTAAGGTTGTTATTATTTAACCAGTCAACGGCATTCATTAAACTATTATTTATGTCATCGTTATATTGTTCTTTTTTATTACACGGAATTGTTATGGTGCTATCATCCGCGAAAAGCGTCATGGTATGTTCTATGCTTTTTGGGAAATCATTTATGTAAATTATAAATAAAAGAGGGCCTAGAACACTTCCCTGTGGAACGCCATACGTAACCTGACGTTCCTCTGACACATATATTTCCTCTCGTTTATTTATGTTATTGAGTCTACTAATAACTGTGATTTGCCTTCTATTTTCCAAATATGACTTTAAAAGACCCTGTATATTTCCTCGAACACCATAACTTTCCATTTTTCTTAATAGGGTATCATGATGTACATAATCAAAGGCCTGTGTCATATCACAGAAAATTGCACATACTGGATTTCTCTTATCTATATTGATCATAACTTTATATAAAAAGTCATAAATTGCCATATCTATACTTTTCTTTTCGCGAAAGCCTTTTTGCTCATCACATAATAACTTATATTTTTCGAAATATGCATATAATTCTTTCTGAATGTACAAAGAATTATATGCATATTTCGTTGTGGTTTGTGGTCTTACAATTTTACTCTTGCCCGATTGGATAGACAGTTTGCTTATTTTAAAATATTTTAGCTCTATTTTTGTGTCTTTATTGAATTACTTTTTATGCTGATAATAATATTTATTTATTACTTCAAATTAGGTATTACAGTTTAAAATAGCTTAATGACACTAGATCATGACCTTTTGAGGCGCCTGAGTCATATGTTTTAAAGTCAGAACTTACAAGTATAATAAACTTGATATGCATAATAAAGCTATTTTAATTTAAATCTTGGTTATTATTTCAAAGAATAATCACATCCTAAATTGAATATATTTCGCGAATAAGATTTTCCTACAGTGGTTTAACTTCACCTTTAAATTGTTAGGCAAATATGATCTCTAATGGTCACTAGACATATAGTCAACCTTTGTCAGCTTTGTCAATTAGGGGCATTAAAATCATATCCATATGTGATGGAAGTATAGGACGGAAATGTTAGTTAATGTCTGTCATTGAGTGTCATGTCATAAACAATCATTATTGTCTTCTTCAGATGTTGCCAACTAATTTATAGGTACATACTTATATCACATTTTCCTATAATAAACTACCCAACACAAAAATACCAAGATATGTCCATCATTTTCGTAACTGATCCTACTTTTCTAAAGGGTGTGTGAAACATTCATTAGCTAGATTAATCAATTACCTACCTACACTTGTAGAATATTTAAATAATATTCAACTTTTTCTTAATTACAATATGAAATGAATGAGAATCTTTATTTCGTTTCTATTTTAATTTAAATGCAACTGCTTGGCTAGATTAGATGCTTGATGCTTCTATAATTAAACAAATAAGGAAGTGTATTAAATTGTATCATTGTTAAGTAACAGCTTGAGACACCGTGAGAAGAGACTAGTCGTGACTTCGTCATCTAAATTATTTATTTTTGTTAAATAGTGTGTCGCGATGTTCATTGCCACACACGCCATAATAATATTTCTATTGTCAGTCAAAATCATAATTAAGTATTTTATTATTTAAGTTTAGTTAATTAATTTATTATTTCAGTTTAGTACCTAACAATGTAAATATACAAACTTAGAAAAAATAATACAAAAACTTAAAAACATTTTGAAAAACTGGCTGTATTTACGAGTTAATAAAACTAAGCAGACGGTAACCGAGGCAGCTGAGTGTCCTCGAGTCAGTTCATGGTTATCTTTGATACAAACTAATGCTATAATATCAAATCAAAAATTCATGACACGTGGATATTGATAAAAGAATAGAGCAAAAAAATTAATTAACATAAAAACTATTTTATAACATCGCGTCGTCGGGTTTTTATGATTAGATGATATCCAAACCTATAAAAAAGGAGGTCGTTTCCTTCATTGATATTCCGACGACGTTAGCCATAACTACGGCGAAACTATTGGGAAGGTTAAGTACATTTCTGTTGGGAATTACTTTTATTTAATGTTTTTATTACAACAAAAACTCACAGGCCCGATTAGACAGATAAGATACGATGTGCGATGCATGCCTGCAATACCTACTAATTCTTCTTTATAATACACGGTTTACTTATGCGAACTACATGGTGCACCACACAACTTCTGAATATGAGTCCCAGTGTGGCTTGAAACTAGTTGAACCCACCATTTTTGAGGTAGATCGTCCTATGGGCTGAATTGTGTAAACCTTCTCTTGTCGCTCAGTACCTATATACATAACATAACCATAGAGTTATATTTGATAATATGTGGGAATTGGTAGAGTGCGCTTGCTCTTACATTAAAATACAATTTTTATACCTACATAATAATTAAACTTCGCTTACATACCTACTACATACAAATTACAATCTCATAATAATATGTCTATAACGTTGTTCTCATAATTATTATTGTTATTAAAAGTCACACAGAAATCCTTTATTTTAAGTTTGATGCTACTGTAAATGATATTTAGGTACGAGTAGGTACTCTAACCTTACTAACCAGTCTATCTGTTGTGTAATTATAATGTAGACACTAGATACCATCAATTATTCAGTGGAATATGAAGGTAACTAAGTTGACACAAACCTTTTATGAATAGTAGATCAAGATTTTAACCTTCAAGTTGAGTCCATGGCTATATCTACTTATAGGTAGGTAGGTACTTACATCGCCAAACAAGTGCGTTCTTTATATGACTGTATTCTATCAACTACTTACATATGTTTATATATCTACGTATGTTACCTAGTTATTTTGCTTAGTAACTACTAAGTAAAATAAGTTAACCTATGTAGTTTCATAAAACCTAATATAGGTACTGCTTATGTTTATGTCTTCAGCCCTTTCATATTTCTTTATTCAGTTTTTTTTAAACATTGCCCCACACTAGGACATACGACATTTAGTACATCTATTAGGCTTGGGCTTATGCCCAATGTGTGTTCAACACAACAGTTACATATTATTAACTGGCAAGTTACACATAACATAACATCACTCCTATTATTCCCGAAGGGGTAGGCCGAGGTGTACATTATGCCACTGTACAATGTAACACCCACTTTTTACTATTTATGTTATTAGTCCCATGTAATAGGGGGTGAACCTATTGCCATATACCGGGCACAATTCCAGACTCCGTGCTGCTACTGTTAAACCCAGTTAAAACCCAGTAAATTGGCAGTCGCACTTGCGATCACTCGGCCAACGAGCAGTCTCTATGATCCATATGTCCAACGTAACGATCAGCGGTCGGTCAGCGTGTCGTTGAGTTTCAATGAGGACGTTAACTTTTAATTTTCCTTAAACTCTTACACAACGACCGTTTAGGTTTAGGAATTTCTGTGTTTCGACAGAAACTACTATTTACTTACTTCAAAAAGTTTCATCGCAAAGTTTCTAGGCCATACATTTTCTTGCGTCAACGCAGGACATCTTTACATGTTTAAACAATAGAGGCAATACCATGAGAAAATAAGTGGATTGTAATTTGTAAGGTTCTTACTACTATTGCAACAATATCTAAACACGTGAGAGAACAATGACGAAGTTTCCCAGAAAGTATTGACATCGGGACCCAATTCTCTGATGTCTTCATCAATTAAAATGTTGCCCTTAGGTATCTAATGGCACCGACTTCTAACCTATCAGTGGGTGTGTAAGCTATAAGTACCTACGTATGACCAACAATAAAAAAATGTTATTTTTTTCCTTTTTAGTTTTTACTTTACGTTTGTCGTTAGTTTTTGAAGTCGGTTTTTTTAAACGCAGTTTTTTAATTTTATTTTATTTTAGTACTTTGTTGCTTTTTAGTTTAGTACCTACTTTGATATATTATTTTATACCGTCTCACGTAAATGCAAAGTTTTCATGAATACAAATTATTCATGCTCAAACACCGGGTGGCTACTCTTAACCATTGAGAAGTTCCCTTAGCTATCATATTACTTCATCATTGGACCTTTAATGACCATTACCCCCATCTAGGTGTAAAGTCCTCATCAATACAAATTATCAAACCCAAACACAAGGTAGCTATTGGTAAGCGCCGAGCAGTTCCCTCAACTGTCGTACTACTACATCATCAGACCCTTATTGATTTCCTTATCATGGGACCATTCTGGTACTATCTCCTTTCCAACAAAAAAATAATTATCAAAATCGGTTCATAAACCTCCTCCTTGTTTTGAAGTCGGTTAAAAATCGTTATCGTCATTTTTATGGGATAAGCTAGTAAACGAGCAGACGGATTACCTGATGGTAAGCAATCGGCGTCGCCCATGGACACCCAAAACACGACCGTTACAAGTGCGTTACCGGCCTTTTGGGAATTAGCAATTTGAGGATTATGGGGGATTCGGGGACTGGGGAGACTGGGGGTAATTGGTCCTCCGGTAACCTCACTCACACGACGAAACACAACGCAAGCTATATTAACGTCGGTTTTCTGTGAGGCCGTGGTATCACTCCGGTCGAGCCGGCCCATTCGTGCCGAAGCACGGCTCTCCCACCCAGCTCTTAAATGGCTCTCAATCCGCCAGCTGTATTTTAATACAAAATTTTAAAGTGCTAATAATAGTATTCATACCTGAACCGGTATTCGATGGCCATAGTTAATTATTTGCCACTGATTATTTAATTTTGTTTTTGGCATTACAGCTCGCAGCGAAATTGACTTTAAAGAACATTTACGTGGAAGGTTTGAAGGAGGCCATTGTTCATGACGCCAGGTATAGTTATTAACATATCTATTATATTATCATTATTAATTGTTTTAAAACGCATAAACTTAAGAGGTTCTATGTGTTCCTAGAATTTAATTATTTTGTCCTTTAAAGACATCAATGATTGTGAGTTTCTGGTTTATAATATTATATCAATAGGTAACAATTTTTTACTCATGAATTTCCATCCGGTTTTATTGTACGTACCGTTGATTACGCAACATCTATAAATCTTACGCCTTTCTATTACCATCCTTCTCTTTTTCTGAAGTTATTTCTTGGTGGTTGCCTTTTACGCTTCAGTTTAATACAATAAAGTAGCCTTGCCCTTTGTTTAAATAGGAAGATATAGATTCATATTCAATTAATTTTATTAATATACTTATTATAAATACAATAAATAAATTACATACTTAACTCGTCGAGTACCGGTTTTGCAGACACAATTATAGAACAATAGGTTGCGGTCACCGGTGACCGCTTGGTGTTTGACAGTTTAATGCAATAATAATGCATCTGTGATCTTGCAACCGCGACGAAAATAAACATAGTAAAAATACCCTGTATTATTTTATAATAGGTATCAATGAATATTTTTTATATTATTTTATATGAATAATTTCAGATTGCGCGCTGATGATGACAAGTTCCATTTAGAAGTGGACCTGAGTGGACCAAGAGTTTCAGTCAGGTCTGATTATTACGGAGAAGGACAGTTCAATGCTCTGAAGATTGTAGCCTATGGACAAGTTAATACTACTATGAGTAAGTGTTGCTAAGTACTTTTATAATGTATATATATATATTTATATATATCAAAAATAAATTATTTCGACTGTTCAATACAATAAAATATTTCAAAATAATCACACGTTCACTAAATTGATTTTATGACCAACTTAATTTTAGTATTTTCCCAGCATAATTTTTCAGAAATAAGTATTCTGTTTAATGCTAGAAAAATGTGTCGTCATAATACACAATCTTGTACAAAATTCATAAAATTGTCGTTTTTGACACTTCGAAAAAGTATTGAATTTGACTAGTTGACAAGTAGGTACTTACCCAATTCTCGGCGATAATATCCATAATTATGTTGGTACTATTACTACAGAATACTATTATTACTGAGAGAATTTTGGAAGTGCCACTCGTCTCCACATGACTTTAATTAGTCCTTAGGAACTGCTTTTAATTCTTACTGAGGAATTTTGACACATTTTGTATGAAACGTATGTCAAAATCTATATTATCATAACATAACATAACATAACATCACGCCTTTTATCCCCGAAGGGGTAGGCAGAGGTGTACATTATGCCACTATACAATGTAACACCCACTTTTCACTATTTATGTTATGAGTCCCATGTAATAGGGGGTGAGCCTATTGCCATATACCGGGCACAATTCCAGACTCCGTGCTACTACTGGGAATTTTTGAAAAACCCTAAGTACTTTGCCCGACCCGGGAATCGAACCCGAGACCCCTTGCCTGGCAGTCGCACTTGCGACCACTCGGACAATGAGGCAGTCTATATCAGTAATCTTTATCAGTAAGTAAGCAATAGGATAGAGAAAATGGCAGTTAATATTATGCCATTGGAGAGGCCTATGTCTGTTGATGTATGATGTATGGCTGTTGATGTATGATGTATGGCTGTTGATGATGATGATGATTAAGTAATTATGTTCTAACGTCTATTTTCGTTTAATATTTTACAGCTGACTTAGTTTACACGTGGAAACTTGACGGAGTCCCAGAAAAGAACGGCACTGAGACGTATATCCGCATTAAAGATTTCTACATGAGACCCGACGTTGGCAGCCTGGTCACTCACTTCAGAAACGACAACCCAGAATCTAGAGAATTGAGTGAGTTGATGTTCCATTCGATCAATTAAACTTTTTTACCGAATATCAGATTATATATTTGGTTTTCTGGCATTTAAAAAATGCTTTTTTATACAATAAAATATATTAATGTAGAATACAATAATACTTATTAATCTAGAAATAATACCTTAATACCATTAAGTTATGACTAATACTTATTGTAATAAGTATCGCAATATTTTTCATTATACACAGTGTCCCTGAAGTCGACGATCAAATGGCACCCGGTGATCGGCAAGGTTCCAATATCAGAAAAATATAGAAAAAATTACAAGTCATATAAGTAGTTTTTAAATGTTAATACTTGTGTGTTATCCACGAAAAAGTACACTCTGGGAGAGTCTTTTGAATCTTGTTGCTACAATTATTTATTTTTATGTCTGGATTTTTTTGCTTACGTTATCCTGAATAGTGCTTCAGCATTATGGAATCATAAATTCTGGGCAAACTGCTGTAGTTTGGTAAAGTATATAATTTTTTGATAAACCAAGTTTTTTTATAAACTTTTTATCTTATTTTGAGTGACTGTACTAAAAAAACTGTACTGTAGGTACTAGTAGTGGCAAATTTCATCAAAGTTGGCGCATTCAATAAGGTTTATAAAATGGTGTAGGTACCACTGCCTAGAGTATTTATTAAATTCCAGATAAAAAAATATTTTTCAACGATACTCTGTTTCGAACGCATCATCTGGTGCCATTTGATCGTCGACTTCAGGGACAACTGTATATCAATAGTTTTAATTTAAATTCAAAAAAGCGTTAAAATAAAGGTGCTAAAAGAAATTAAAGTTTTGCATTGTAATTTTTTCAGCTGACTTGGGTACAAGATTCGCGAATGAAAACTGGAGAATGCTATACAAGGAATTTCTGCCATATGCTCAAGCTAACTGGAACAGAATCGGCGTCAGAGTAGCCAATAAATTATTCCTAAAAGTTCCTTACGATCAACTGTTTCCCACATCTTCATGATTTTAACAAAAATATTTAAGAAGTTACTTATTTCATATTAAATTTATATCTAGAAGACATTGGTGTTCTGTGATTCCTAAAATTACCTAATATCAGTGCCGGATTAGCCACGTAGCAAGAGTAGCAAATGCTACGGGCCCCGCGGATTGGGGGGCCCCGCGCTCAAATAGGTATTTCGTAATAACACCACTTCAACAGCAAGACTTATGAAGAAAATGTTTTGTTTACAAAACTACTACCAACCTACATGTAATTTGATTTTTTTTCTTAACGAAATTAACGAAAAAAGACAAATAGTCGGTATTTTGTATGTGTAAGAAAAGGAAAGTGACTATTTGTTCGCTTGGTTGGTGCCATTGGCGGGCGAACCGAGCCCGATTTGAACGAATCAAAAATGAATTAATTAAGGAACACTATGGGCCAAGGACGTCTTAATCATTTCACAATGTTGAATATAGAGCATGACTTGCTTAAAGAAGTCGATATTGAAAGTGTAATCGCTAAATTTGCCCATAACAAATCCAGAAAAGTTTATTTGTAACAGTTTTGTTTTATGTAATAATACCCTAAATGACAATGACCAAATTTGTATGGAGCGTGGTGCCTTTTTATTTTTCGCGGCAGTTTATTGGATGTGTAAAAACTGATGCAGAATAACATTACAAACAAAAAAATATATGGGGTCTTATATCAAAAACACAGTCCAAACCGAGTTAAATCAGTTCAAAGATGTGAAAATAGTGCTATATTATTCCTGTTATTTTGTTGATGGTGACCGTACACAACGCATATTTCTTCATTTACTTGTCAGAAATATTTTGTAATAAATGTTTATAAACGATTTCAAGGAATATAGTAAAGCTTATAGTGGACTTCTTTTTAGGGTTCCGTACCTCAAAAGGAAAAAACGGAACCCTTATAGGATCACTTTGTTGTCCGTCTGTCCGTCCGTCCGTCCGTCTGTCAAGACTCTTTTTCTCAGGAACGCGTGGAGGTATGAAGCTTATATCAATTTATATCAATTACTCAGGTCTACTGTCCCTTGAAGCTGTGAAAAAATCAAACTTCTAAGCCAACGCAATCAAAAGATACAGCCGTTTATGCCGCAAATTTTCGACACTTGCAAGGGAATCAAAACCTACAGGGTGCTTCCCGTGAACTCAGAATCTTGAAATTTGGTACGAAGCAACGTCTTATAGCATAGATAAAGGAAAAATTACGAAAACCATAAATTTTTAGTTACATCACATAATATATATTTTTTTAATAATTTTAAACTTACTACCCATTTCCTCATAAACGCGTAGAGGTATTAAATTGAAATTCATACCAAATACTCAGGTCTATAATACCTTTAAGCTGTAACAAAATCAAACTTCTATGTCAACGCAATCAAAAGAAACAGCAATTTAAGCTGCATATTTTGAAACTCGCAAGTACTCGCAAGGGAATCAAAACCTAAAGGGTACTTCCAGTCGACCTAGAATCTTGAAATTTGGCATGAAGCAACGTTTTATAGCACACATAAAGGAAAAATTCCGAAAACCTTAAATTTTTAGTTACATTACAAAATATGTCGTAATGAACGAACTTTGTAAACCTTGCAGGTTTGTACGGAACCCTCGGTGCGCGAGTCCGACTCGCACTTGTTTTTATAAGGCCACGGAATCATAACAGAGTCTTTAACTGGCCACTACACAAGTAAAAAAAAAAACATTTCGATTGCTTGGCTAGCGTGTTCACTTTATACCTATGTATACGGTTTATGGCCTATGACAGATTTTCATGTAAGTTTCAATACCCTCTCAGTCGAAAACCCGCAAAATACTTTACTGAGCCCTATCACGAAATGCTATGTTTGTCAGCTGCGGCGTCGGTAGCGCATTGAGTAGTGGCAATCGTCGAAACACGAAAAAATTTTTTTTCTGTCTACTTCTCCCGACCTACTCCCGATTAGTTACTAATTTAACTACAGTTAATACTCTAATCTAGAGCTAGCATAAGATTCTGTACAAAGATATCGTCATTCAGTCACAAAGTGATGGACTATATTTCGACTGATCACATTATATGAAAAAAAAAAATATACGCTCATCTGACGTATATCACTTTACAAAGTCGACGGTTTCCTTTCTACAAAAGATTATGCGAACTATAAAGTAGATGAGTCTCCTACCAGGAGTCAATGGCAAAACAAAATACACTTTATTAGATGTTCGCACGGCTACCACCGCTCAACCCACCACTGGTAACATAGCTGACGCTCATGAAGCTTCATGACACAACTCCTAGAAGCATCCCACAAGTTATCGACTGAGAGAAAATAGGTAATAAAAATTAGTGCCTGGCAATATGAATATATTGTGGTGTGATATGGTATTCCTGCGCCCGACGTACAGTTGCGTGCAATTTAAAGTTGGGAATTGTGACAAAAATATGAATAACTAGCTACTTCCGCGCGGTTTCACACGCTCTGCTCGGCTCCTATTGGTCGTAGCGTAATGTTTTATAGCGTATAGCCATCCTCGATAAATGCACTATCCAACACAAAAAGAATTATTCAAATCAGACTTGTAGTTACGGAGATTAGATTAGTTATTCTTCCGCTTTATATAATAGTATATAAGATAATGGTATAAGATATAAGATTTGAATAAAAAAAAACAAAGTAAAATGTTTGACTTCAGCTCCTTTCAACGCTCATAACTCAGTCCAGACTGAGATTTCCATACATGAGCCCTATGGGCTCACTTTCATATATGTACATATATGGGGACAATTTCGTTTGTGATATCATTCCAGACAATATCTTCCATAAATCATCGACTGACGCCAGAAAAAAGAAAGGCACCAAATTTAGTCAATGCCCAAATGAGAACCGATAGCAAACCAAGGGCCCCTAGACAGAATTTGCTACAGGCCCCGCGCTGGCTTAATCCGGCACTGCCTAATATTAGAATATTTTAAATAGGCTACTTACAAAGTAAAGTTACCATCACTACTTAAGACGTAAATTTATAATGAGAAGTACCTACCTACATTTAATATGCATAATAAATTGTTTCGAATTTGTTTTTATTTTAACTCATAATTTTTACGTAATTGAATAAATGTAAGTAGTGTCGAATAAGTGTAAACATTTAAATGTTCAAACATTTTTGTTTAAGTTACTTGCAATTTTTAATGTACCTAATTAGTTAATAATATTTGATTGTTGACTCTGGTTTGTTTTTTTATTATGATAAGTATACATACATACTTGCAATAAATACTTGAATACCTGGATACATGCAAAAGAAAATGACTTCAATTAATTTTAATCTCAATAAAATTAATTTAATGCGTTCATATACCACTTTATTATTGTTTTCTGTGTTTTATTTTTAGCTAAGACAAGACCCGTAAGACCTATTACTGTTATATCTAATCTACAATAAGTAGGAATATCTAACCTTAATATCCGCTGTACCTATACATTTTATTTTAATTATACTTTGTCATTGAGACAAAGTTCCACACTGAAACCTATTTCTCCTTCCTAGCTAGTAGTGGTGGAAGAACCTGATTGTCAGTGTTTTAGGTGAAGCAACTGCTACATTAGAACTGCCATCTGCCCATCTGCCATGAGAGATACCTACGCACCCTACTGAAATAACATTAATAGTTTGCTGGGTTTGCAGTCTTGACGTAACTAACGTTGAAATTATCAATACCTAAAAATAAGTTGCTAAGTTGTAACGACATTAGTTGTCAGGTTTTCTCTAAAATCTAAAGGTAACATGCATTGGGACCATCCGGACCACACAGCGACCGCGACCGGTTTTTGTTAGTATCTAGGTGTCGAAACTTGGGCACGAACGACTAATTTTACAACGTATAGTGTTGTTTTTGAGAGATATTAGAACATTAAAAAAATGGAATATGTGAGATGAGAAAATATTGGTATTTGAACACAATTTTTTATTTTGCCATTACCACTTTAGTAAGGAGTAAGGGGCTGGAATTAGATCTACTTCGGCCCAATTGTCAACCTCACCTGCACGCGTAAGTGGTTCTTTATAGAATAGCTGGCGGCGGCGATTTAATATCGTCGCGGTGCTCCCTGCTAGACAACACACGAGGCAATGGCGGCCGAGCATAGGCGGTATAACCTAAACCCAGGAAGGAAACTGTCTGGATGAGGCTACAGAGGCCTGAGGAGAAAATACTCCTCGAAAGACCTGGTGCAGAAAGCAACGGGAAACCACGGCACTAACATCCCAAGAAATCTAGTATGGACATAAATGCGATTAGAGATGCTTTGGCATGCGACCCGGCCGCCGCCCGGGGCCATGACGATTCCAGGTCGCATGGTAGGAAATGTGCTACTGGCCACACTGGAGTGAGTCATCGGGCGCAGTGTGGAGTGACTGCTACTGGTAAAGGTGGGAAAACATCTAGGAACCAGCGGTCACTGAGTAGGGTCGCAGCGCTTGCGTGGCAATGCATGGAATGTTCGTGGTATGATCCGTGAACTGAAGAAGGAAATGTTTGATGAGGAGCAGTCAGCGTACAAGCTAGACTTATTAGGCCTCAGCGAAACCTATATGAGAGGTACAGGGTTCTACAAAACGAACAGACGGCAAACTGTCTACTTCTCGGGACCAGTAAGTGAGAGCAAGAATAGAGTGGCTTATCGGGAATATCCGTTACAGCTGAAATGGATAGGAAATGTGTTCTTAAATACAATCCTAAGAGTGACCGCATAATCACAATCAAGCTGAACACGCAACCATGCCGTATGAACATCATACAAGTGTACGCCCCTACCAGCGCTGCCGATGAGGAGACTATTGAAGCGTTCTACAATAAGCTAGATGACACGTACAATTCTTTACCTCGCAGAGAAATTAAAATCGTGATAGGAGACATGAACGCGAAAGTAGGCTCTACTGTGAGGGACGATCATCTCAGAAAGGTGGTTAGACGCTTTGGGTTGGGTGAGAGGAACGAAAGAGGAGACAGATAGTTACAATTTTGGGCTGCTAATTCCCTCACTATAATAAACACCTGGTTTCAGCACCACCTCCGACGTCTATACACGTTGACTTCACCTGGAGATAGAACGAGAAACCAAATCGACTATATCGCCGTGTCTCAGAGGTGGAAATCGTGCATTATGAACACCAAGACATACCTATCCGGGTGCGGACTGCAGCAGTGACTACTCGCTCTTAGTAAGCAGAATGTCGATCAAGCTGAAAAAATACCCTCGTGTCACTGACAAGAAAAAACGTAGGCTTATAGGTTGGACAAATAAAGTTGAACAAATAAAGTTCAAAGCAAGATTTCAGCAGGAAATTACAGCAGCACCGATAGATGGAGATTTGAGCGTGAATGACGGCTGGGACAGGTTCAAAGAATTAGTACAAGTAGCGCACAGGGAGAGTCAAACTGGAACATCTGGCGCCCCACGCTATTCTTGGTCATCGGATGAGACTTGGGACATTATCAAAGAAAGAAAAGAAAGAACTACTTTAACACCTTTCAAAGGATGATGACCGAGAACGATACAATACAACGATACGTCTTTCGCGGGAAGTTTAACGTCGCTGTCGGCAAGATAAAAACAAGTACTATAACAACATTTGTACGGAAATTGAAGATCATGCCCAGAATATGCAGTCCAGGGAGTTGTTCATGAAAATAAAATCAATAACGCGTGAGTTCAAACCAAGGACCTGGGCTGTAGAGGACACAAATGGTCGTTTATTAACTGACATAGATGGGGTGGTCAACAGATGGAGAGAGTATTGTGAAGCCTTAGATGCGGATCCAGCAGCGTCGGAGGACCCCCAGGACGACTTCAACAGCATACCTCTGAAACCAGAGATTCTGAAGTCTTAAGTCGAATTTGCTATAAAGAAATTGAAAGCAAACAAATCACCCGGCATTGATGCCATATTTACTGAAGACCTAAAACAAATAGGTGATTATGGAGTAAATTTTCTGCAGAATCTATGCAATCAGATATGGAGGACTGGTTGCTGGTCTAAGGAGTGGAGGGAATCCGTACTGATTCCAATACATATGAAGGGATCTATGAAGTCCTGCGGAAATTAAAGAACCGTCGCGCTCATTTCTCATGTTAGTAAGGTTCTTCTGTACGTAGTTAATGAGCGTCTTAAGGCATTTCTGCAGTGGCAGATTTCAGTGGAGCAGGCAGGATTCGTAAAGAGACGAGGCACTAGAGAACAGATCGCAAACATCAGGCAAATCATAGAAAAATGTATTTGATACTACCTTGTTTGCATCGTCCGAGAGCGAGATAGCTGAGTTAATCGAGAGTGGAGAAGGAGAGCGAACTGGTTGGTCTCACCATTAATAAAAACAAGACCAAAGTGCTCGTCGTACACAGAATAGGGACACACACTCGCTCACATGAACTCAGAGACCTGGAGTTTGTGGATCGGTTTATTTATCTGGGCTCTCTTATCGATAGTGGGGGTGGCAGCGACAGAGAGATCAGAAGGAGAATCCAGATGTCCAAATCAGCAATGACGAAACTTACCAAGAAAATAGGAATAGGAAGGAAGGACCGAAACATATGTCGCAAAACCAAAGTGAGGCTGATGCGTACGCTGTTTTTTTCAATTTTCTTGCATGGCACCGAATCCTGGACCCTAAGGAAAACTGAGAGAGTAAAAATTGACGCCTTCGAAATGTGGTGCTGGAGACGTATTCCCTGGACCGCTCGTCGCACCAACGTCTCCATTCTCAAGGAGATCGGAATTACTACGAGGCTGTCCACCGTAGCGAATACTAACTTATTTTGGCCACATTGCGCGTAGAGACCCTAACAATCTGGAGAAGCTTGTGGTTGTTGGTCGGGTTAACGGGAAAAGACCTCGTGGTCGCTCACAAGTGAAACAAGTGAATTTATTTCTGCAAATAGGCTACAAGGCAACACTTTTACACGTCAATTTTATCAAGCGAACGATGAGGTCGACATTTCCTAACTGACTACTCTGAGAAGAAATGCCGAAACAAACTCAGAGGTCTGTCTCTTTTAAAGTCCAAACAATGTGTATAATAGATTATGTGTGAGAACCGTGCAAGTTCTTTCTGTAGTGGCCTTTTGAAGAAAGAACCACAACAGTTTGAGCGGACCCGTTCTGAAGGCAGTACGCATGTGTCGGTTTACAGTCAGCTCAATGGGGTTGGCAACTGTCAAAGTGGCGCTGTTATAGTTGGTGCCCAAAACATTGCATTTCTCTTCGTTAAAAATAAGAAAAATATTTATTCTATCAAAATGACTCGATGTATTGTATTGAAATGCTCGGAAATAGGAGTCCATCGTATCCCAAAAGATAATAAAATTCGTCGGCTTTGGTTAAAAGCCATTCGCCGTGAAGATTTGATTCCAACAAATAATTCGAGGTTATGTCGGAAACATTTTGTGGAAAGTGATTACGAAAAAATCAGCAAATACACAGGTAACCTGCTTGCCAACAATTTCTTGTACCAACTATTAATAAGTATAAACATCTTACGATAACAATAAGATAAGTTAGTTTAATTAGTGCTGTATTAAGACGTTAATAACATTCCTAACTTTTTGTTACAGGAGTTGAACACCAGCACAAATATCTCAAGAAAAGTGCTGTACCATCTGTCTTTGCATGGAACACACAACCAGTTTCGGAGAAGGCAAAGGCAAGACAAGATAGATTAAAAGCCCGTAACCTTAAAAAGAAACTGCTTTTTGAAATGCCTTCTACTTCTCAATCCTGTGAGGACATAGTGCCACTTAAAAGAAGATGACGATGTGCACATGACTGATTGCAATGTATCTCAAGAGCTTGTAGTTGAAAATGAATGTGACAAATCACCATTGTCTTATGTTGTAAATCAAAACACTTGTGGCACTCAGACATCAAACATATTAAGACTATTCTCAACTGAGCTGTTACTTGCAGATCATGAGACAGTGCATTATTATACTGGATTAGAAACATCTGCAAAGTTTTCTTTAGTTCTAAGCACACTTTTACCTATGGCTAATCATTTAAAATACCGTTGGAGTCAAGTAGTTTGTTTATCAGTAGAGGACCAATTTCTCATGTTATTAATTAAACTTAGGAGAAACACTACGGATTTTGAACTGAGCAAAATATTTGGTGTCAGTAAGACTGAGGTCTCTAATATAATAGTGACTTGGATAAATTTTGTTAATGATGTTTGGAGTTTGGTTGATATTTGGCCATGCCGAAAATTAGTGGATTTTTATATGCCAAATAGTTTTAAAAAATATTATCCTTCTACAAGGGTGATTATAGATGGAACTGAAATAAATATTCAAAAACCTAGTCAACCCAATGACCAGAAAGCCTCATTCAGCACCTATAAACATAAAAATACTTTAAAATTCTTGGTAGGTGGTTCACCAGGAGGTTTAATGACATACTGTTCGAGTGCATATGCTGGTTCTGTGAGTGACCGCCAGATAGTTGAGCGCAGTCCTTTGTTGCAGATATGTGATCCTGGGGATAGTATTATGGCAGACAGAGGTTTTAATGTGCAGGACCTGTTTGCTCCTAAAGGAATAGGTATCAATATACCTCACTTTTTAAAAGGCAAATCACAAATTCCAGGTGTTCAACTTAAATTAGACCAGAAGTTGGCTAGCCAAAGGGTTCATATTGAAAGGCTTATAGGTTTAACCAAAACATATTTAATATTAAGAAATGAACTGAACCATTTCTATGTTCCGTTAGCATCAAAAATATTTTTTATATGTATAATGCTCTGTAATTTTCGAGAAGGAATTGTAAATAAAAATAATTAACAAAGAATTATTTAAGTTTTATTTTATGAAATTTTCACAATAATTATAATAAATATGCTTTTCTAACAAGGCACTTTTAAAATAGTTGTTATAAAAACAGTCTAATTTTGCCAGCATACTACTAATAAAATAGTTGTCTTTTTCTACATATACTACTTTCAAATCTTTGTAAGTATATATAATCATATTGCAGTATGATCTGCCGGAGCAATATAATTGCCCTTGGACTTGAAAGTAGTATGGTGTTGATTTTTTTAACTTTAATACCCCGTTTAAAAGTTCTAAATAAGGAACAGTAGTGGGATTTATTGTCTGATACCTACTAGCATAAGGACATTTAATCTCGATAATTGTTTCTGTGCCCAGTAAACCATCAGGAGATGCAGCAAGATGTGGCCTTTCGCAACTTATAAATATACCACATGGCTCTATTACAAGACCATATTCAGTAGCATACTTGCTTAAAGCAACCTTTTCATTTAACAGTCCATGACTGGTCGCTCTTGATGTAAAATTTTTTTTATTAATTATTTCTCTGGCATATTTTGCCATAGTTGTTGGCCTTAAATTACAAATTATATGAAAGTTACTGGCTGTTAGCCGTATTTGTCTATATTTATGCCATTCAGGACATTCTATTTGGCCAATGGTATCATTTTGAATGATATTTGCCTCTTCTATAGTAATTTTATCCAACTTCATTTCTTTGAAAAACTGGTTTTCTGGATTTATATCTGTATACAAGTGATCATTCACAAGTCCATATGGGTTAGCAGGCTCATATAACTGTTTTAAAGGCATGCGGGAATTCGAAAAACCAAGGATCAAATTACGGAATCTAATATTATAATTTACCTTTTTTATGTTTTTGAGAGGGTATGGTTCAAAAATTGGATTGCTTTTTCTCCTGTAAAATTTTTCTACCTTGACGGGTGTACCAGTGTAAAGCTTTTTAGGCACATGGAACTGCTGCAGTTTTTGGGTACATACTTCTTGCAGAAGCAGAATTTTTTCTCGTACCATGTTCTCAATGCCAAATAAGAGGACTGCAACATGTTTGCACAAGGCATTCGTTCCACTTCCAGCAGGACATTCACAGTGTGATGCTTCAGGATTACCATTAATATTTAATACTATATCTACTTCATACTGTAGACTCTTCATAGTCTTCCTGCAGTATCCTTTTACGAATGTATTGTCACCAACCACAGAAGCTCGTGCCATCAGCAAGTGACGTGATTCATATAACCGCACTACTGTATCAATTTTTTTCTGTGTGCTGGAAAATATAAGAATAGTTGTGAATTACAGTTGTCAACTATCTACTTAAGTATTTAATTTTAACTTAAGTTACAATACTTACTAGCATAAATAATGTCTGATCATGGTTTTATCTAGGGGTGGCAATATTGTGTTACTGTTAATATCCCGATAGGTTTCACTTAACGGTAACTGCATCTTTGGATCTTCATTATCAGCCTTGTCAGGACGGTCGAAATTAAAGTTTTGGTCATATAACTCCAACCTAAAATATGAATTAGTTTAAGTACAAGGTTTTTACAGTTTCATTATAATTAACAAGAAATTATCACTTAAAGTGATACTAAATTTAGAAACAGTTAATCTCCGATGAATGTACATGGTAAGACAAGTAAAATAAGTTAAATAAGACAGACAAAATGTATACCTTTCAACAAGATCTGCTTTCTTTCCACGTAAGGAAGCACCACGCTTTCGGAGCTCATCTTTCAGTTCCTTGATCCGCCAGTTGGAATACATGACGTTTCGATAATAAACCACAAGTAATCACAATTATACGGGCGTCTTCAAGTCACAAAAGAGCGAATAAACAGTTCGTAAGTTTGTAAACGAAATGTGACAGAACAATGGCCGCCAATACAAAAGAACTAGCTATGCTGGCGCCATCTGTGCTAAGCTTTGACCGGCCAACCCCATTAACAGGTGAGGCTGACTGATTCGACGAACAATACCAACCCAAAGAACATTTGCGTAGGCCGCATAAATAATCAAACTGTCAGAATATGGGTAATTAGAAAAGAAATGGTGAGGCAAAGTCTCGCACGGACGCAGCATCCAATCACCTACCCGGTGGCTGTAAAAAACCTAACCGGCCTGACAGTTCCAGAAGCCATAAAGACCGCAGATGACAGGGGCGTTTGGAAGAGGGTTGTGCATCAAGTGACGCGTGCACCAGACTAGACACGACCTTCAGTAATGAAGAAAACGACTAGGAAGAAGACCACTTTAGTTTCCTTTCTAGAGTGGCGACCGAGATTACTGCGTAAAACTATTTTGCTGTCAACTTTGAAGTTACTTTGTCTTTTCTTATTAGAACTGTCACTGTCAAAATATCGTTTTATCTGGAAGTTGGAGCTGCGAAGAATTGTACCCGGTTTATTTATGTTTAATTTAGAAAAATGGGTGTGATTTTAAAATATGTGGTTGCCGGGTTATTACGGTATTGGTTAATTAATTTGGATTATTGGCAAACTATAGCGAACAGAGTGGAAATCGCAACGCCTCTGAACTCATGGAAGAGGTTAATAGAAGGCGTTTATTTATATGATCACAACATAAATCCTTATGAAGGAGATTCGTTTCATGAATCACCTATAATGCTAGTATTTTTCTACTATATCATGAAAAAAGTGCCATTTATATTACCGGTTTTATTCACATTGTTGGACCTCCTGACTGCTCATCTTCTATACAAAACTTCTAAAGCTTTTATACGGATTTTGAAAGAATCCCAAGAGAAGCAACTGGCTGAAGTTGCTGATGAGTCTAAACCTATGCTTTTGGACGATGCTCAACTGAAGGAATCTGCAGAATATGTGTTATCTGTTTACTTGTTCAACCCATATTCTGTTTTGAACTGTGCTGGTATGACTACAACAGTTATACAGAACTTGTTGGTGGCTACAGCATTGTGGGGGGCTTCAAGTGGTCAGAGAATTGTTGCTTGTGTATTTATTGCACTGGCTACACACCAAGCCCTGTACCCAGTATTGCTAATTGTACCAATTGCCTTAATATTGGCTGAAGTCAACAAAGGGTGCACCAAATGTTCTTATATAAGAACATTACTTGTGTTTGTGTTAAGCTGGGGATTCCTCATTTATTTGTCAGCATATATTATGGATGGTTCTTACAAATATGTCTACAACACCTACGGATTTATGTGAGTACATAAATAATAGATATTATGATCTTAACTCGTCGAGTACCGTCATTATAGACACAATTATAGAACAATAGGTTGCGGTCACGGGTGACCACTTGGTGTTTGACAGTTTAATGGATAAACAGTACCTATAAATCAGTTCAGTTCCCATTCTTTTGTTAAGACAATTTACAATATTTATCACAAAATATACTTAATGAAGCTATATTTGTTACTTTTTCAGATTAACTGTGCCCGACTTGAAGCCAAACATTGGACTGTTCTGGTATTTCTTTACAGAAATGTTTGAACATTTCCGAGTGCTGTTTGTTTGTGCATTCCAAATCAATGCTCTAGCCTTGTATGTGGTACCTCTTACACTAAGATTCAAGAAAGATCCAATACTATTGGCCACAGTGCTTATTGCACTCTCAAGTATATTCCGATCCTACCCATGTGTGGGTGATGTTGGCTTTTATTTAGCTTTACTGCCAATGTGGAAACACTTATTCACATGTAAGTATAATAATTTCTGTGCTAACAAGATCTATAGTTATGATAATATTACATTTGTCTTGAAAATATTACCTTGTTACCTAGGATAATTATGTTAATTTGTATTGTATTCATGATATATATGTGTACTGTCGCTTAGTGTAAGTACATCAGCAGTTTAAATAGAATCTTTGTAGAGCATGTTGCCCTAAAAAATAAAATGGGTTGTATAAAACAAATAAATTATTTTATAATGCTTTATTTTTCAGTCATGCAGCAGAAATTCATAGTGGGCTGCACATTCATCATCACCTCTGCACTTGGACCAACAGTGTGGCACCTGTGGATATACTCTGGATCAGCGAATGCCAACTTTTTCTTTGGAGTCACTCTCTCCTTTGCCACTGCCCAAATATTCCTTATAACAGACTTACTGTTCGCATATATCAAGAGAGAGTTTACCTTAAAAAAAGGGTCATCAAGACAAGTGGATGGAAAACCGGCCAAATTGGTACTTCGATAATAATATACACTGTAATGTTTTTGATACATCTTTCAGTTAATATTTACTATTGCTGTTAGCTAATTACTTATTTCACGTCCATATTCTTTATTCTTACTTACCATGGATTACGAAGAGATTTTTTGTAAACAAACTTTTAGTTTTATCCATCAAAACTAATTATAGACTGTATTTAGTGAGTTTATTTTGAAACATGCACATGTAAATTACTAATGAATGAATAGTATTGTTTGTACATTCATCCAATAGAGACTGTTTCATGCTAGAACAAAACATTTTCTATTGTAAGGTTAGTCTATAAATTAATTTTAGATATTTTATATGACTGCAAAGTTAAGATATGAACAGATATATGCCAGTATGTGGCATTATGGTAATACGGGCAGCACTTGTAAGAAAGCAGAAAGTTGCTAAAACGGATTTTTGGCTCTTAAAAAGTAATTGTTATTGACGTTCTTTTTTTAATTTGAACACATATTCAATGCGTGTCTTGAACTACCACTGAAATTATCTTTGGTATTTAGTAACATAAAAATAACTTATGATATTAATCTACAAAGTGGCCCATGAAGCCAATATCTGTGTATTTGAAACCCTTATATTACAGCTTGTTACCTCAAACCTCAAATAATACGGAAACCACAAATTATTGGAAGATATGTTTGCACCTTAGAATTAATTTCACCTTGGTTTGTATAGAATTTGGATGAAGAAAGATATGTTTATTTTTATGTTGTTTATGGCTGCCATGTACAGGGAACTGACGGGATTTGTGAGGAAAAAAACATTCCTCGTCTTTTATTTACAATGTCATACTGTCTTATTTTAGTTTGTTTCTTTTTATTATACATGATTATATTTCTTTGAGATAAATATGGGAACAATTTTGTTTTGCCTACTTAAGTATTTGTATATTTGGTTGTGTTTTTACTTGTAAAAGTTGCATCACAAATGTTATTGACACCTTTGCATTTAAAGTATCGTACAATTTAATTATATTATTATTTATTTAAAAAAACTACTGTCCATTTAATTTGTTCTTGATATCTAATAATTTAATTTGAATACCAAATATGTAAAGAATGAATTTAGTTTTTTTTTGAAACTAGAATAATTTTGTACAGATGGATCGTCAATAAAAGGTAAATTATTTTTATAATTATTTTATTAATCCAATCCTTTAATTTTGTAACAAAAAGGTGTTACGGTTGTGACAAACCAGGTTTGGTTTTGCAATGAATCATAATCACTATCTTATCACGACGCTGTGATCCATATAGTAGCACTCGCACGCGTGCTCAGCCCGCATTGTGTTGTTTTTTATTATATTTCCGAAATATAGCTATGTAAGAAAACCTAAACATGAGAGAAAAAATATTATTATTGAACTTATTACTGTCAGTGAGCTGTAAGTACATTTGCAAAGTGTTATTCTACTCGCGTCTGGCCGCACCTTTCTATTTTAATGTGATTATGTTGTTATCTTTGAGTTATTAATATAGATAATGTTGTGTTTTGTTGAAATGTATGTTTTCTTGATGTAGTTGTGACATGTGTGACGGTGCCAAGTATACCGAATCACCTGCGGGACTGCTATCGGTCGGGGGTCCCCGACCTGCCGGCCCCCAGGCGCCTCGATGTGTTCTTGTCCCTCTTGCAGAAGCTAGAACTACAGTCACAACTAGACATGAGACTGCTTAGCTCCGGTTTATTAAGAAGGTAATATTTATTTACTGATTGCAATGCCATCTATCGATTATTTGGTAAAGAATCTGTGCTTACTAGTCTAGTTAGAAAGCTCTTACTCCTTTCAAATTCATCTCAACAAGATTTTTAATATAGGTAAATAAATAAATGCATTACATACTATAATTTATATACCAATTATAATATAGTTATCTATGATTTCAATTATATACCTGGTGGCGTCATCTGCCTACTGATTTCGAACTAATGACATCAATAAACCTGCTTTCGACAGTTGGGTAAAATTACATAGCTACTTATTATTTCCACAGCCTGCGTCTAGATGGCATTGAACAATCGTCGGTGAATGCTGTGGAAACTGAATTCCTATTGCCATTCAGAGCATCCAGCTTCCAATTCAACAAGTTCAAGATCCTCATGGATATTTTTCTGCCGAGTCAAAATTTGGTGCAAGTCGATGAGATTCTGCCAATAGCTGAAAAATGTCTGATACACAAAATGCTGAGTTCGGCTGTGCGGCAATGGGAGCGAGGCGATGAAAATTTAGTATGTCCGTTATCAGCACAACTTGCTCAGAATAATAATAATATGGATACACAGAGTAATAGTAGGTGGGTACTGCGTATGTAATCAGACATTAAAAAAAAACATTTGGCCATTCAATGTGACGTAATGTGACGGTAGTTATTTGCCAAACTACGCAAATTCACAAGTACATACATACATGATTGTATGTTTACCTATGGGTATATATAGGTAGGTATATGCACAGCTCGCTACCCGCAAAAATACTTTTACTACGTATCATAAGGTCAAAAACCACTTCTTTGTTAGTTAGGCACTTAGGTTGTAGGTTACATACTGTTTATCAGTTTATAAACAAAGTTTTTTTTTTAATATAAAACAGTAGGTAGGTACTATTGGTACGTATAATGAATTTTTATCGACTACGCATCCATTGACGTAAGTATATTGGGTTTTATCACTGAAATATATTAAATAGGTACATATATGTACCTATACATTTGAGCATTTGCGTCGGTAAAGGTCGATTTTACATTAAGGTAGTCGACCTCTTGATACAGTAAATAATATGTACGTACAAATTAAATTAAAGGTGTTTATGTGTAGCTACTAATTGATTCATTAAAATACATAATATAGCGCATTCATTAGGACATCTTTACAAAAAAAGTAGCCAAACACGCACATAACTATAGGATATACCTACAAAGGTCATTTAACAAAATGTGATTCTTCCAAAGATCAAGATCAAAAAATTTCTTGATATTGTATGTGGCAATGAAATAGTAAACAACTACCTATATGCTTAGGTAAGTATTTATGTCAAGCCTTAAAACTGAGGTCAATATTCCTACTTATCAAAATCTCGAAATCAAAGCCAAATACAAACATGCCAGTCACATATGAATAACTAAAGAAATGCTAAACAAATATTTACCAACTTCCAGAGTGATAAGTAGATGCCCAATAGAAGATGGAGTAATTCAGACACAATGGGGCACGATATCCCCTGGAACTGTCATAGCTGCAGTCGCCGCATCATTGGAATCTCAACGAGTATCAGTCACAGATATACTAAATGCGATCATATTTAAGGAGGATGTAGCTGAACCGCTGATGGTGTCAGCTAAACAGGAGTGGGTTGATGATATAGAAACGTTAACCCCTACAGTTAATAATACACCAGGCATCCGAAGACAGTCCGATGTGGCTGACATAGGGAATGTCTGGGTCGCTACCCTCGCTGGTAAGCTAAATATTTAATTTTCTAAGTAGTTATTTACCCTTTGTTATCACGTCCTTTCATTTCCTTGTTTTGCTGAAATACCTACTGCTACATTATGCAAGTAAGAGCCTAATGCTAATTAGCATAGGTGTTTATTATCTGATAGCAGATATGTCGAATAAACAGTACCCTACCTAGATAATCTCGGTGGGTACCTGTGGCCACACTATGACTAGAACATGAACATTTTAAAAACATAATATTAAGGCCGGATTGACATTGCTAAAGACTTTAAATTTTGCTTCAACTATGAAACAAAAACTGGAGGAAAAAGGGTATATCGGTTAATAAGATTTACGACATACTAGCACCTCTAACCTTTTGAGACTTTTGGCATTATTCTAACTAAGTAGAAATATGAATTGATGATTTAATAAGTCTATTTAATTTCTAGGTGATTTAGCAGAAGTTGTGGTAAACCAAGGTCCTCGTGTGGGTTCCGTTGCGCAGAACATGGTGATCGGCAGTAACAATCGTTGGAATGACACTTTACTTCCTCGAGACCATTACCTCCTCCCCCAAAACTTAACCGTCGCTGACTGGCAGCTCACAGACGCCGAGATACTTGCTGGCATCGATGGTGGGTTTTAATGTGAATTCCAAGTGTTATTGGTATTAAAAACCTAAGTACCTATTAAATATAATAATTAATCTCATAGTACCGTCGTACTCTGAACAGGTATAATAATTTTACTAACAGTTAATTAAAAAATGTTTACAGTTATTACTTTAGTATCGCCAAGAGTGTAGGTAGTTCGGAAGGTAATTAAAAACTGTAAACATATCCTTTAAAACCTTACTGCGGTGGCCCTTGTTTCGTCCATTTCCAAAAATATCACTCACCATTCTTATTGAAGCGTGACCAAATAATAAATAGTACAGCTTTCCTTTGATTTTACCAGTCACTAATTTTTATCTCATTTTTAATTTCAGGTCTCATATTAGCACATCACGTACCTAAATGGGTGGAACAGAGACGATCATTAAGACTATCTCAAGTATTAGACATGTATTATTCTAACGAAGGAGTATCATTCGACCCTTCAATAAAGGCCTGTAACCGTCAGAATCTTTTCACGAACATTGTGAACAAGGAGGATTTGCTTGTGGAAACTTCTAGATTCGCTCATGTTCTGTCTTTAAGACAGATCACTGTGTACGTACCAGTCGAAGAGATGGAGAGGATGGCGGTTGCCGCGGTCAACGCCTTTATGGATTACGCTCGTGAGTACCTACCTTAACATTAAGGGCTTGTGTTTGCAAGAAATATCTGTAGCACCATGTATTTTCTTTTCTTTAGTTATTAGTGATAATGACTTATTGAATATACTTGGTAATGAGATTGCAAATTCACTAAAATTCTAAGTCAAATATGATAATGAGAAAAATATTACATGAACATAGAAGACTATAAGTAGTTCGGAGTCGTACTTGTTGTTTTATGAGAATGCACTGCTTTATGTGTTCCTTAACAGGTTTGAGAATATTAGAGCTAGCTGGTTATTAGAGCAAGTTGTATAGATGCCTTACAGTTACCCTTCTTATGCAGCTATCATTTTTCAGACGACGTTTCGGAATACGGGCTGGACACAAATGCATTCTCTTTTGTTTAAGCCTTTGACTGCCGGCAGAAAACTGTTGTAGGCAAATCCTCCGCTAACGTAGGTCACCGGTGACATACCCGGCGGTTAACGTGTTAAGAGATAAATGATACACATCTGATGGGGCACAATTGAAACTAGGTCGGGCAGTAGAATTAGGAGGTGGATTACCACTAATAATGATTACCATATTAATATTGTCCTTTGCTTGCAGCTAATTTATTACGTCGAGTTCATAAAGAATGTGATATGCTCGGAGGTGCTCCTGTCGTGGACTTGATAGTCGCTACAGACGGGTCATGGAAAGGCTACGACGTCGAACAATTTATGTCGTGAGTACAAGACTAACTTACTGCCATTCACACAAGGCCATACATTGCGCAATTACGCATATTTTAACTATCGATAAAGAAGATTGCAAAAAACAACTCGACCAGGAAATTAGATAAAGTGACCTCGCGCAAATATGCAAGTATATCTACTTTAAAAAGTCATGCTAGTGCTATTTTTTGTTCAAGTGTTTTATTTGTAGTACGGAAATTAGGAAATGGTTGCTGGATACAATCTTTAAATGTTACTTCTATAGTCAGAATTTTAATTAGATTCCAGATTTGACAATAGCTACTGTCATTTTGTGAAATAATGATACCACATATAAAGTGTAGTGATGAACACAAAAATCGATAAACAATCAGTGTGCGTGTTTTATAATAAATGTTACAGAAAGTGACAGGATAGCGATAGCGATGACGGCGACAATTTATAAAATAACTTATTACCATAATACATCTTTTTTTTTTATTTGTCATGTTCCTTCATGATTACATTTTTTTATTTATTTCACACACAATTATAAAAGAAAAGTCTCAGATCGTTAATTAATCGTCAAAACTAAATTATCGGTTCAGAAATATTTAATTTCCTGATATACACTAAGTATATCAGGATATTAAATATTTACGAGAGTAAAATTATAAACGAGGAGAATCGATCCAGAAATATTGCATTTACA